CTTGGCAACCCAGGAGTCTTTATTCAGCTCATGGCTTAGGGTGCACCAAGATCAAGCGTGATGAACACATCTGTGTGTTTGGGACTTGAAAATACCAATTAGGGATGGATAAATCTTGGCCTGACCCAAGGATCTTGTAGTTCAAGTGCTGCTATTTGAGACAGGGAAGGTGTTGCAATAGAGGGGTTGCTTCCCAGCTGGAGAGATGTTCACAACTTCTTAGGAAGAAATTCTTAGGAAGAAACTGTTCCCTGTGAGGGGGGTGAGGCCCTGGCACAGGTTGCCCAGAGTAGCTGGGGCTGCCTCATCCCTGGAAGTGTCCAAGATCAGGTTGGATGGAGCTCTGAGCAACCTGGGATAATGGAAGGGGGTCGGAATGAGACGAACTTTAACGTTTCTTCCAACCCAAACCATTCTGTGATTCCACATTTAACCTGATCCAGAGGTGCCTGTCCCATGAACAAGCATGTGTGAGTGGCTGTCACCACTGCCTGAGGCTGTGATGGGGCCAGACTTACACACTGGGAGCTGAGGGAGGGTGAGGAGAGATTTGGGAGCAGGGTCAGAAATTCAAACAAAACCCAGTGGGAGAGGAGGAACTCTGAAAAGAGGTAATGAAGTCAGTGGCAGAAGAGGATTGGTGTGCCTGGCAATCCTGGGGTGGAAGCACAGAGGATTTGGGGCTGTACCTGTCACAGGAGAGCAGTGATGGAAGGGGAGGGAGCTGCTGGGTGGAACTCGTGTGTCATGCTGGCATAGGAGGGAAGAGGGTTTCTGGAGATCACCTGTATCCCTGTCCTCCTCTGTCCTGTGTCTGCTGGGCTGTGTTGGTGAAGGATGTGCAGGCACCTTCTGGTGAACAGGCAAAGCCAAGTGAGCAGTGTGTTGTCTCCAAGCTGGAATGTGCTCTGTTTAATAGCAATATAATGTCCTATAATTAGCAGGCAAAGGACTTGCCTCCCAGCTGGCCTGTGCCAGAAGGATATAATTACAATCCCAAGGAGTGATGTTCCTCTGACCTGCAGCCAGCTTGCAGTGTACATCTTACAGCATGGAGGAGAAATCTACTTCTCCTCCCTCAGTTCAGCCAGGGAAGCGGGATGGCTGCGGCACCGCTGGAAGAGCTGCCAAAACATTGGGAAAGCAGCAATGCCATGCAGAAGTGCTGGGTCCCTTGTGGGTGGGAGGGAGGGGATGTCCCTTCTGGCATCTCTTGGAACATCCTGTGTCTCTGCTGAGCTTGGAATAGGCGCCTAGTCAACGGAGAGGCTGTGGCTGTTTTTATCCTGCAGCCCTGCAGATTGTTGCTCAGCCAGGGCCAGAACAGGCTTTTCCTGGTTTCCCAGTAAATCTGGATCAGCATAAAACAAAGGTTCTCGTTTAGGAAATAGTAGTTGCAGTGTTTGCTCAGGGCTGTCATCCCTTCCAGCCAACAGAGTGAAAATGTGCCAAGCCTGGGAGAGCGAGTGTAGGCGCGAGACGGAGTTGCCAGCCTGGCTGGCAGGATTCCTGCAGGGAGAGGGGAGCCCAGGCAGAGCCCCGTACCCAGACCCACCCCACACCTCTGCCCTCCCCTTCAGGCCCTGACCCCACTTGGGAATTCAGGGAGCAGCTGTTTGGACACCATTTTTCATGCTACGTGGGGAAGGAGGTGGTGGAGCCGCCGTGTGCATGGCAGGTCACCAGGGGCTTTCCAGTCCTGCCACCTCTGTGGGAAAATTCTTTGCTTTTGCCCTCTCCCTCTGCCCCAACCTGCCCGTATTAATTGTGAACAGCTCCATGGGGAGGTCATTCACACAAGAGATTTGGGTTTACCACCCACCTTGGCTGCACTCATTACAGGTGAGATTCAGCCCGGTGCGGGGCCACCAGGAACTGTGGGAGTGTCCTACCAGCAATCCAGCCCCAGTGGGTCTGATGGGGACAGGATTCACCAGGAAGGAGGTTGGGATCTTCTGCAAAGTTAAACCAGGCTGACTGTAAACCAGACAATGTCTCAAGATGGAAAGGACTTTGCTCCCACGACCACCAGATCCTTCAGCCCCAGGAGCACTTGGAGAAGGCATGGATGCTGGTGGGTGCAAATCCAGAAAGCACTCAGATTTCACACTCACACTGACTCCAGGAGCTTCCCTGTAAACCATCGTGCTTGGGGTGAGGAGCCTGGCATGGTGCTGTGCTCCACACCAGCAGCAGGGTTTGGTGCCAGCTCTTTCTGGTCTCTGTCCAGTTTGACAGGAAAGGCACATCAGCTCCCAGAGGAATCCCCACCCAGGGGCTGTGTGGGTTTTTTCCCTCCATCTGTGGCCCTTGGAGCTCTGTGCTGGAAGGGGAAGGAGCTGGCAGTGACACCAGGTCTGAGCTGCTGTGATCCCCCTGCCTCCCCAACCATCCCAACCCTGGAGAGGACATGTTTTCAAGCAGCTCAGTGGGGTCTCATGGAAGAGCTGCCTTCTTCCCTCCTGTTTCACTGTGCTCTGGCTTTACTTGGATGATGTGCTCCATCCCTTTTTCTTCTGCCATCCCCACCCCTGTGGCTTTGACTGTGGCGTGATCCATGCACAGCCATCCCGGAGCTGGAAGGCTGCGGCATGGATGCAGCTGGAGTGGGAACAAACACGTCAGCACCTGGCTTCCCTGGGTACTGCGGGGGGTAATTGGGTTCCCTCTGCCTCTCTCCCCCCAAAACCAGGGGAAATAATTGGAAAAGAGAGGTGTGAGTCTCTGCCTGGCACTGGAGAGGAGAACATTAAAGGCCGGAGCGCTCCACTTCATTCGCAGCTCCCGGGATGGTAATTGCTGTGTTGTGGTTTCTAATTAGCACCGCAGTGGGGGGGGACATCATTCTGCTCCACAACCCCAGTGGGGTCAGCCCTGTCTCCACTGTGCCCCTCGGCTTTCCTCACCCCCCCACTCTGCCTGTTCCCCAGATCCACCTCTCCGTGCTGGGTACCCCTGTCCTTCCCCCAAGCCGTCTGCCCGGGGAGATGCTCGTGGCCAGCCCAGCTCTGGATCAGATCCCCACCACCTCCACGTCTCCCAGCGTGGGTGGCTTGGACTGGTCTGAGCTGGGGAGGAAGGAAGAGCTAACTCTAACTTCTCCCACCTCTACCCAGGCTCGTGTGGGTCAGCACAGCTTCCCTGGGACCCTCAGCCTCGGGGTCCTGCTCCTGTGGGCACCTCCTTGCCCATCCTGTGTCAAAGGGACACGTGGTGTTTCAGCACACAGAGTGAGCGTTGTCTGAGGCTTCTCTTTGACCAAGCACTCTGGTCCTGTTCCTTTAATGAATACTCTGCTCCCTTGGCAATGCCCATGGTGTTTTCCACAGAGAAATAGGTTGAAGCAAGAGCTCCCCTGCCCATGCCTCCCATCTTTCCTAGCTAGGTGGTCATCTCCTTGGGCCACGAGCTCTCTCCTTACCTCATCCTTAACCCAACCGCGGCATTTGAGATGCTCCAGGGCTGCTCCGAGTAAGAGGAGCCACCTCTGCCACCTCGGGGGTCCCCGTCACCCCTACCCCCTTGCAGGAGGACCCTCCTGCTGCTGGAAACCCCCAGGGTGCTCCTGCTGCTCCCCGAGCAGAGCATCCCCACCAGCCGAGAGCGGGGTTTGTTTGTTTGTTTGCGCAGCTCCCGCTCGGAGGGAGCAGGAGGGAGAGAGGGAGGGAAAGCTCCGAGCAGGAGACGTGCAGATTCATTTCGAGGCTTCATAATGGTACATTTACACACCACGTTGCCTAAGGAAATTGGGTGGATGAATGCCTGGTCATGCTGCCAGTGCACCGGGTTAACTCCCAGGATTTAGCTTATATCATTTCACGAGAGCGTTTATGGCCTTTACTGTGTTTATTCCCAGGTGCTCTTTGGCACTGCTGTGTCCCAGGCTCCTTTTGTGTATGCACGCCTGTGTGTAGATTTTCAAATAAAATAACACATCTCTTCAGACCTGGGCCACATTAAATATTTATTGCCTGTAGTTTGTGCATATGTGTTTGATAAATGGGTGTGTGGGGAGGGGAGGAGAAGGGGAAGCGGGAGCTCGGCGGCAGAGAAAGCGTTGGCTTTGTCCTGGAATTTCTCCAGGGGATGGCACTGGAGAGGGTTGTCCAGCGAGTGCTGCCTTTGGGGCTGTTTTCAGGCTTTTTGGGCAAGGTGGGATCCCTGGTGGGATGGCTGAGTGCTCAAGACACAAGTTCTTTCTCTGGGGACAAGGTTGGGACAAGGTTCCTGTTGAGCACAGGTGCTGCCAGCTCTGCCCCACAGCAGGAACCCCCTTATCTCCCCATTCCTGGTTTTCCATTGACACTCAGAATGACTGAAATGCTTTCGGATCTGGAGGTTGTTGTGTAGGGCTTGGGTCTGCTGGATTTACCTGTTTCCTTTCAGCCAGCTTAAATAAAACCAGTTTATTCCAGCCCAGAGACTGGATGGGAAAGGCTGGTACCTGACTGAAGTGTTAGACCAAGGAAATTCAGCCTTAAAACTGATGCCCAGCATCCATGGAGCAGAGGGATGAAACCTTTGTGTCCCCAGACACCTCTGGGGATAAAGGAGTTATTCTGGAAAGACATTATGTGGGGCCATTCTCTCTCATGCCCATATCCTGTGCACTCCAGCCCCTCTCCAGAAGTGCAAATAAATCTGTTTTGGTGGAAATTTAGAGAAACCCCGTCTCCTGGTAACCTGGAGATGCTCTTTGCCCACCCTGAACAGGGCATGGCATGCAGGCTGGATCTCCTGAAGGGAGGAGAAGCACAGCAGTTATATAAAAGAAGTTTTTTGCTTTGTTAAGATTTGTGGCCAGTAAGGATGATCCTTGAAATCCAAGCTGAGTTTTTAGGTGTTAATAGGTGCTTTGGACATGGGGTTTACAGGGAAGCAGAGTGACTGCAGGATACCCGGACCCAGACTCACCTGAGACCACAGCAACGTGGGTCTGCATCCAGCACTGGTTCTTCCCTTGGTCTCACACTGTCTTTGCTTTTCCCTCTGATTGACAGCACCTTTGGAGAGCTGAAGACTGTCCGGCTGCCCAAGAAAATGGCAGGAACTGGATCCCACCGAGGCTTCGGGTTTGTGGATTTTGTCACCAAGCAGGATGCCAAGGTGAGCTGTGGTCCTTCCTCTCTGGCATCTTCCCTGCCAGGTCTTGGAGCAGATGAGGAAGGGAGCCTGGAGGCTCTGTCCTGCTGAGTTTTATCCCAGATTTGGAGCAGGCTGTTGCAATTCCCAACAAAGCTGCATTGAGGCTGAAACCACCAAACACACAGGCAACCACTGGAGGTTGTGTGACAGAAACCCCAGCCTAGGCCATGATGGGAATAAGTTTGGTGTAACTGATAAAATGGCTAAAAATTCTTGTAATATAGAAGGACAGGAGCTTATTTTTCAGATTTGTCAGCAGTAAGGTGAAAAAGGATGGTATTTACCCAACATCAACACATCAGGAAATCTCTCTACTTGTCCCATCTTCACCACCACCTTGGTTTTAGGGGAGTTTTGGATATTGTGGCTGTTCACTGATTTGTAAACTGCTCAAGGCTTGTGTTCATCGGTTCCTCTGTGTGTTTTGAGACCTCATGAACAGCCTTACCCTGGTGCTTTCATAGTGAGTGTACCAGAAGATCAGGAGTTGTGAATTGATCTAGTTCATTTATTTTTTTAAAGCTTTCCTGTGTGTTTAAGTTCCAGACTTGCAGCAGAAACAAGGGGATTGTAGCCTGCCTGATAATATCCTGCTCTTACCCTTTGCTAGAGGTTCCAGAGCAGGCTGGCTCAGGCATGAGCTCTGGTGCACTGGGCAGAAGAGGGTCCTTGTTCCTGCTGTGAGCTGCTCTGTGGGCACTCCCAGCACTGCAGCAGGGTGGATTTCATCCTGCTGTTGGTTCCTGGTGATTTGAGCAGTATCTGGAAGAGTGTGGTTGTAGGCACAAACCACGGGATGTTATTGCTGAAGGAAAGGGACCACGTGGCTCCACTGACTCCCCAAGACTCCAGATTTTCAAGACTGTGAGCAGAGATGAAGGAGAGAGGAGGGGGGAGCCAGCATAGCCTGTGTTTATGTTTTTAGACAGGATTCATTGATCCAGGATCACAAGGGACTATTAGATCATCCATTCCAGTCTGACCTCCCATATAACACAGTATATGGAGTTTCTTTGTTAGTCCTGTATTGATCCTAATTCAAACTTCCCTCTGCTCAGCTTTCATCCTCCCCTTGAGGACCCACTGGCTGGGCAGCCTGGGGTGCACTGAGCCCCCCAGGAACCTGGTTCCTCTTCCTGTTCCGTGAGCTGTGCCCGTGGTTCTCCTCAAAGTTCACCTCTGCCTCACTCACAGTTGTTCAGGCTTTATTCCTGGTTTTTGAATTAATCTTTTACTAAGGAAACTTTAGGCAGTTGATGGAAAGGTGCATAGAGGGACCTGACTGGTTTTTTATTGCTGCTCTGTTTGGGGGGGTGTGAGGCAGTGCTCACTTTTCTGATGGTTTCTGGAGGAAACAGGCACAGGCTCAGTGTTTGCCTCCCCTTTTGATCCCTTTTCATCCCAGTGGCTGATTCCAGCTGCACTGGAGAACTAGGAATCTTGAGTAGCAGGAAATCCATCTGTGGCTGGTGAGGGGAGTGAGCCAGGCAGGGCTCTGGATCAGGGCACTGCTCCCAAAGCTGCGGGATTTGAGCGTGCAGGGAACAAGTTGCCCTGTGGAAGAGCTCTCAGTGGGGTTTTCTTCTTTTCCAGCAAAGCAGCTCTTCTTCCTTCTCCTTCATATTTTTTTCTACCCTCATCTCTTTGAGGGATTTAATTGTCTCACAAGTGGCACATCAAGTACACTCCATTGGCCGTCTGGAAAAGGATGCACAGTGTATTGATGAATAGGATCCTGAATATTGTAAACACGGTCATAATTGGCTTAGAGTTTATTGCTTAGTGAAATGAGAGAGGAGGGGAGTGGGCCCAGAGACCTCTGAGCTGAATAGCTGTGACTGCCAGTGACGTTTTTTGCTCAGAGTGGTAATCTGGAAATCGCTTATAAGCATCTTATAAAACATGATGGGTTTGTAATAGAATAGTTGGGCTCCCTTTGTTGGGCATTTAAAGCCTGTGACCTCCCGTGTTTGTCTTTTTCTCTCAACAACCGCGGCTGCTGTGGGAGCGCACACAGAGATTTTCCAAAGCCAGGATGGGGATGTGGGGCTCCCCCTCCCAACTCACTGATGCTGTGCCTGCAGATCTTTCCCATCAGGCTTGGGTTTGTCTTCTCAGCCTCCCCTAATGCTCTGCCACCCGCTCGAGGAGAGCCAGCCCTCCCAAAGTGTTGTCCCAGGACGGGTGAACATCAGGCTGTGAGTCACCTTGGCAGCCAGGGAGGTGACATTCAGGCAGGGCACGGGATGCTGCTGGTGGCAGCACCTTCTGCCCGTCCTCTGCTCATCCTTCAGAGCCCCAGCCTCACTCCTGGCTTTCCCACGGTGATGTCTGTGGCCAGGGCTGTCTCTGGGGGCGTCTGACGGCTCCCAGGGTGATGGATGGACCTCAGCTGGGAGTGTTACACCACCATCAGATGGAATTAGCAGCCCTCTCTCTCCTGTGTCATGAACATTTACCAGATCCCAGCACACACACATGCGACACCCAGGAATAGGGAGGAACCCACAGCAGAGACAGCAGCGGGAGGGACAGAGTGATGTTCACAAAGAGGCTGATCCAGCCTTTGTTTTTAAACCTCCAGTGCCAGCTGGCCACTAGCTGGGAGTGCCTGGAAGGTGGGGATGAGCAGGGAAACTTTGATCCACTGGCAATAACAAAATAACTCCCTTTAAGGAAGCACTAACCATTCGCGTTTCCTGATGTTCCCTTTGCAGAATTGTTGTGGAATTGTTTTTATTTTTGAACTATTAGCTGGAAGCCGAGTTTCCACTTTTCTCCCCTGTTGATATAAAAATACATCTGGTCTCCAAATAGAAATTGCCCGTTTGGGAAAGACAGTCGACGCTTTAAAAATGCACACACACGGAAGGAAAAATCCTCGTGTGCAGCTGGCATTGCTGAGAGCATCCTCAGCTGGGACTGGTTCTTGCAAGGAAGGGATATTTATCAATCTCCTAATGTTGTTGACCCTTTGTCCCTCTAATGATTCCAGCCTGAAGGCTCTTCGGCTTGAGTATTTAATAGGGCAAGGGGGAATCTATAGGCAGAGCAGCCCTGTCCTCCAAATTAATACAGCAGTTGGGGTTGGAGCTGTCACACTAAGGGGTGACAGACACCATGGTCCAGTCTCTGATCTCTGCCTCTCCCTTGCCCTGGCACAGCAGGCTCTGCTCCAGAGCTCTGTCTGGCTCATCCCAACAGCCCGGGCTTCATCTGAGTTTATTTTGAAATTTCCTTTCTGAATCCCACAGATATTTTTCAGCTGCTGTTCCAGCCTTTCTCTGTTCACTTTTCCCTGCTCTGTCCACCTCTCCATCCACTTCCTGGGCTCTAGCCCTGCCCAAGCTGTACTTGGAGGTAGCGACGATATCCTGCCGTGCTGAGCCGGAATGTTGAGCTCAAACCAAACTCTGCAAAATCATATTCAAAAAAATGTTCAGAAATGAAATTCTTAAACATGCTCACATGCTGTTTTCTAAGGGGAGGAGACCACAGGTTTTTCATGCAACCCCTAAAAGCAAGAGGGGCCTGTGAGGAGGTTTGCCAGAGAGCTACAGCCTTCGACGTGGCCTGGCAGTGGGTGTGTTACCAAATGCAGCTTTAACAAAATCCTTTTTTGGCATTTAAAAAGGAACCTTCTGTGGCAAAGGCTCCCCTTTTCTTAAAGGTGTAGGAGGATGTGAGGCTGTGGGAATTAGAGGTCTCTTGAGTGGACACCACACCTCTCTTTATCCCTTGTTGGGGCACAGCTGCACAAACCTCTGGCTGTTCAGTGCTTGGGTCCTCAAAAGAAGTGTCCTGGGAAGGGAGATGCTCAGGTGGAGGAGCTGCACCCCAAAAATAGCTCCTGCTTCCAGCCCCACTTTCTGTGAAAGCCAGCCTGCTTGTCCTCGTTTCATATTTCTCACCTAATTAAAATATATTTTTTCCCTCCCTATCTTTTCATTTGGAACAGCAGCAGTGGCAAATTTCTTCCTCTCGCTGGAAGATTTCCAGCAGTGTGGATGTATGGGAATGGCATTTCTCCCCTTCATCTCTTTGTCTTTTAAATCATCGGTGATTTCTCTTTTTTTGTCCCCCTGAAAAAGTCTTAATTCCTCGCAGAGCAGTGAAGAGCTACGTTTCATTTTTTAGCTCTTTTTCCAAAGAAGTGACATTCGGGTGTTTGTCACCTGAAATGTGCAGCTTCTCTTCTGCAGCCCCAGCTCTGGGAGGTTGTCTGGAAGACAGCTCACAGGGAGCAGAGCTCCCAGCACAGGCTGGAGCTTTCCTTCATCCTGGGTGCAAACCAGCTCATTTTGGGAATGTGCTTGGCCGGGAAGGGCCGATGTCACCAGGCTGCTGGCAGATGCGTCTCTCCCAGCGGGTTTCTTTCATGCAACACAACTTGATGGCAGCATCTGCCTTCCCTCTTGCTCCGTGACCTTTCCCAGTGCTGCCAGCAGAAGTAGAGGATGGCTCATCCCAGACTGGGCTGAGCAGCTGTGTGTGCCTGGTGAGGCGTGGAAGCAATCCTGCGAGGAGGAGGAGGAGGTGGCAGAGAAGTGGCTCAGAGGACGAGAGACCACCAAGCGCCGCGTGTCACACCCCGTTCCTCACGGCCTGCCCTCCTCCAGGACCTGCTGCAGAGCACAGAGAGCTCACAGGGGCTGTGCAGTGCCATCCAACCTTCCTCTTCCTTGTGCTGTGGGAAGCGAGGAATTAAAAAGTATAAATTGACAAATGAAACCCGGCGATTAGAGCTGCAGTTGTCTGCCAGGCTTTGGAAGAGGCTTGTTCTGCCAACGTAAACAGCCATCACAACTCCCTTCTGCCGCCTCCCCCCGAGTGTTTGTTTAAGTCAACACATTGCTCTGCTAATTGGAAGATAGGCCTTTAAAACACAGCAGCAGCAAATAAAAACAGCTCTAACTTGCAGCCCTTCCCAGAGGAATGTGCCTCCCAAAAAGGGGCCACCCTCCCGGGTCACCCCGGGGAGCTGCTGACAGCTGGACAGTGGGTATCTCAGCCATACTATGGAGGTGGTGGTGCTGGTGCTCCTCATCTCTCTTTTTTATAGCAAGTGAGAAAGGGATTCAGAAGGAGGGGGAAATGCTGGTTACTGAGTGCTGGTCACTGGAAGTGGGGAGGTTTTTGAGTTTCATAACCCAGCGGCTCAAAGAGGGTCCTGGCTGCTGAGGAGCAGTTGTGGGCAGCAAAGCCTCTTGCAGGAGAAGCCCCTCTGCCCAGACATGTGGTATTTGGGGGCAACCACAGTGGGCCAAAGTTGCCATTTAGCAAATGGCTCAGAGGAGAGGTCTGGGCTTCTCCAGGACAGCTTTGGAGCTGTTTTGAGGGCCTCCAGATGAGAGGACAGGTCCCTGTTGGACTGCAGGATGTATTTCTATGGTCCTATAACTGCCATATTTTTTCCAAGGATATGAGTTTGCAGAGCTAATCCCAGCCTTAGCTGGGGCTCTTAAAAGAGCATTTGGGGCATTTCTCTCCCCCTGTGCCCAGCCATGTGTCACATTACTGTGGAGTACTTTGTGCCTGGGGATGAAAATACTTGACCAACATGTCTGTGTATTTGCATTATGGGCCCTACCCTGCTCAGTCCTGAATTTCCTTGAAAGTCTGTGGGAAATAAGGACAAGGCCAAACTTCCCTGGATCGAGTTGCTGTTTTCTGAGTGTCTCTGCTGGTTGCCTTCAGGCATAAAAAGCCATCTGAGCTCTGTGCTGGCCGGCAGACTTGTATTCCACATCACCAAGAGCTATGTGGATGTTATTAATCAGGATCTAACAATGAGGAAGCCTCTGGATTTCTATGACATAGCAAACCACCATAGCCAGAAAGAACAGAGGACTTCTCCAATGGCTTCTGCTCTGCCTTACTTGCTGCCACTACGGCCAATATCACAAGATGGTTGGCAACAGGAAGGCAGCTTTCAAACTTGTTGCCCTTGAGCAGAAAGGAGCATCTCTGCTCACACCTGAGCCGTGCTTTCCTGCGTGCCAGCAGAGAACAGGGGGGTAGAGAGTCACAAGGTGTCCCATGAAGGCCCTAGTTTGTTGCTGACCCCTCTAGTGCTACCCCAAGGCTCGACAGCCTTTCCAGGCTGCAGCTTTCCCGGCTCAGGTGTGGTTCCATCCTTGAGCTGCTCCCTGTGCTGGATTTCAGCCTGTTCCCATGAGCAGCAGCCTGAGGGAATGGCAGTGGGTATTTGCTCTGCTGCAAGTACGTAGAAGATAAATGATCCAGTCAAAGCCACTGATGGAGATGAATCCTGCCCCGTCAGAGCAAAGCGCTCAGAGCGGGATGTTCTCTGGTGGCCTTTTAGCTTCAGGGCAGAGGGAGGGACATCTTCGCTTTTCTTTATGTGAGCCTGTTCTTATTTTCTCTTTTAATTTTTGTTTCTTCTAATCTTAATTCTGCAGAAAGCCTTCAATGCCCTGTGCCACAGCACACATTTGTACGGCCGGAGGCTGGTCCTGGAGTGGGCAGACACGGAGGAGACGTTGGAGGCCCTGAGACGGAAAACAGCCGACCATTTCCACGGTAACACACAGCATCCTTCTGGCCTGTCACTACAGCCTGGCTGGCACCATCCCATCTGGCACACGCTGCTGGTCCACGCCAGCCCTTTCCCTACTGCTGCTGGCGTGTTGGAGCTGGCAGGTAGATGCTGGAGCCTGAGGATGCAGGGGGAAGCAGGAGGCAGCCAGGCCAGGGCTTTGTCTGACAGCTCTGTGTGTGTGAGCTACTTAACTCTCTGTGTGCTGGCACTGCCGAGGCATCTCAATGCCACCTGCCACCACAGTGCCTTTGCTCCATCCCCTGGCACCCCAGGGTGCTCCAGAGCTGGGGACGGGCTCTGTGCACGCAGCACACGAATTAAAAAGGACCAATAATTTTGCCATGGGTTGAGATGCAGAGAGGGCTGTTTGGATCAGGTTGAGAATGGCAGCCCCGCAGATGACAGCACTGCAGGCTCCTATTGACAGCCATCGACAGGCACAAATGCATTGCTTGGCAAATATTTATGTAGGAAGGGCTCCCCTGGGCTGGAGGGCTAAGCTGGAGATCAATGTGCTTCCTCCTGCATCCCCTCCCAGCCTCCTCTCTCCATCACCACATGCCCATGGCCCGGGGGTTTGGCAGGAGCGGTTGTGGGGCTGCACATCACAATCCCTGGTGATGGAAGAGCAGCACGCCTCGGTTATTTAGTGATCCTGACTCCAGCAGGGTCTGGCCACGTGTTCCTGAAATAGTGTGTGCAGGGCTGGTTATTCCAGGCTGGGGAAGCTGCAGGTTGGTGCTGGAAGGGCTGAGGGTGGGTAAAACCAGGGAGGTGTGGAGCAAAGTGCTGGTATCCAGGGGCTGTTCTCCCACGTGGTGCCAAAGAGGAAACTAAAAAGAGCACAGTGGTGTATCCAGGCACGTGTAAGAGCCTGGATGTGCAGGAGGCAGCGGGAAGGGTGGGCACAGCTGGGGGTTGGATGTGCCCACCCAGAACCCAGTGCTGGTGGGGGGACACATCGTGCTTACTCACAGTGACATGAGTCTCCACCTGGGTGAAGAAGGCAGCAGATGTGATGTTTCATGCACCCAGTTTTATCTTCAGCATCACCTTCCCTCCTTTCTACTCTATTCAGCCCAGGGGGAAATAAATAGTCTTGGATTTGGGGTCGTTGCAAACTCACAGCAGATGCTGGCTGCTGCCTGTGAGCTCTGCCACCTCCCCCAGGTTTCTGTCTGCCTTTTGCTCCAGCCTCCTTCTCTGGGCTCTTCCTCACCGAGCTGGAGACTCGGGGAGAGCAGCAGGAAGAGCATTTTCACATCCCAAGGGGAATGCAGCCTCGGAGCTGAAGTGGCCCCAGGGGCTCGACTGAAAAGCAGGAGCCAGGTTATCACTCCCCATCTTTAGGGACGGGGAATGGGATGGAAGCAGCAGCCACTGCTGTGCTCCAGTCTCGAGGGGAGAGCAATAACATCCAATACCTCCAGCCCTGGCAGCTAATCCTGCGGCAGAGGGACCTGCCAGGAGTGGATCTCCGTAACAAAGCCAGGCTTGGGCACACGGCGGGCACTGCCCAGTGCCTGGGACCAAGTCTCAGCCTCTCCACACCGCCCTGGCAGGCTGGAGGGTCACGGGTGGGATTTTATTTCCTTGGAAAGTGTCCTTTCCTGATTTCAAGGCGGGTTTCTGGCAGCAATGCCCGGTGGCTGAGTGGGGGGGGGAGCTGCACCCTGTCCCTCTTGCTGTGGGGGTGCAGAGTGTGATAGTGATAAAGAGGGGAAAACAGCAGCCACCACCCTGCCTGCAGCCCCCATGGGGATGCTCCTTCACCTTTCCTGCCCGCTGTAGCTGGAGGCTGGTTTTCCCACAGGGAGCACACACAGCATTCCCGCCCTGCCTTGCACCCTCCCTACCCCTGCAGCCACCACTCAGCTGGGCTGAGACCACACATCTCATTGCACTGGTGATAACAGACCAGGTGCTGTCAACCAGAAACCAAACTCACTTCTTCCTACCCATACCCATTTCCCCTACTCTCCTCTCCCCAGGAGCAGCTCAGACATCCCTGTGCTGTTCATGGATGTCCCCCTGAGTTTTTCCCTCCCACCTCAGTGTGGGTGAGGGTCTTTTCACAGCTTTGCAGGCTGCAGTGGCCAGGCCCATCTGGTCTCTTACCTCCAGGTAGGAAGAGACTGAGCTGATAATGGGAAAGAAAAGATAATTTAGAGTCTTCAAGGTTCAGGAAACAGTCAAGACTGAAGTCCCTTGTGTCCTCAGCTGGTCTTTGTCTCCAGAAGTCACTGCTGCTGCTGTCTTCAAGTTGCTCCCCAAGCCAAGCCCAGCCAGCAGTGCCTGGGAAGCAAGATGTGGAGGCAGATGCCATATAAAGGCACAGTGTAGTAGATGAGGTAGGCCTTATCCCACTATCCATCTCAGCTTATTCCTTGCTTCCTGCCCTGAACTTCTTTGCAGGGTTGAGCATTGCTATCTCATGGGGGAGCCTTTGTCATTTTTCCTTTCTCTGAAAGTTTTCTCTGATCTTTTTGGACCTGGAGACCTCCAACACCACAAGCCACTCTTGGTATTGGAGAAGCTGCTCTTGCCATTTGTATCCAGCTGTGTTGGCTTGCTGTGCCATGGGTACAGGGTGACATGTCACCTCTGTTGCTGCTGGCTCTTTTCCTGGTTATTCCACAGAAAAGCAACCAGGGAGCATACCAAGGACTTTGCACATGCCAGAGGAGGTCACAGGACAAAGGACTGAGCCACCTTGATCTTACAGGTGTCTTGAGTAGCAGCAGCCAAAACCCCTTATCCAGCAGCTCCAGTGTCATCCCCATCATCTTTGTCTTAGCAAGGAAACACTCTGGAGTATTTCCAAGTCCAGACCTGGGCTGTGAGAGACGTGTCCTACCACTGACTGCTCTCTGCTACAATTATGCACCTAATTTCTAGACACCATTTACAGAGATTTGGCTTCCAGTTCCAGGTCTCTGCTGTTATTTAAGTTAAAGAGAGGTCTGGGCTCCCAAATCTTTTTTTCCATGCAGGCATTTGCCATGGCAATCAAGCCACTTCTGAGCCATCTTTTCAATAGGTCTAATAGATGCAATAAAATGGAATAGGCTTCCTTCTCATTTTGTGTAGTTTTCAGGTCATTCTTCATGGCTTGTTCTGAGGCTTTGTAATGTTCCACGAGAAAGTGAGGACCTCAGAAGTGGTCACTGACTGCCAGAGGTGGTTGGTTTCAGTAATGCTGTCAGGAGTGAAGCCACAGCTCAGCTCTGATGCCTGGGACTGCAGCACTGCACTCCACACTGGCTCTCCTGCCTCCCCAAGCACAGTCTGTAAGAGCTTTGAGTCTTTTTGCTCATTTCCGAGAGCACCTTCTTTTCACCCTGAGGGAGGAGCATCTTATATTAGAAAACAAAAAGCCACTTTGAGCTTTAATTGCACCCCACTCGTAATTTGGGGGGACCCACTGCTGCAAGGTGTGCAGAGAGCCTGAGAGCTGGGCCAGCAACAGGGGAGGATTTGGTGCTGCTGTGGATAAACTTATCTACTCTAACTTGGTAAGGAGAAGCCAGGGAAAGGTTGGCCAACAGCTGTCCTTGGGATTTATAATCCAGCTCATAACCTGAAGCAGGGTGGTGGCAGGTGCTGCATCAGGGCAGTGAGGGATGACAAACCCTGCCACCCACAGCATCTTGGCTCCTGAGTGGGAAACAAGGAAAACAAGGATCACTGATGTCCTCGAAGCCACCGCCCAAACAGTGACAAAGGGATCCCCCTGCCCTGCAGCTGAATTGCCAGCCCTGGGGTGAGAGGCAGATCTGGATTTGTGCCCTGCACAGGAAGCAGCATTCCAGGGTCACATCCAGAGCCCTGCACAGGAAGCAGCATTCCAGGGTCACATCCAGAGCCCTGCACAGGAAGCAGCATTCCAGGGT